TACAATCATGGCCCCATCCTGGTCCCAGATGATCCACCTCCACCCCAACCCCTTAAAGCAAAACAACCCCCATCCCCACCCCCCTCCTGGATGCCATTAAAAGTAAAGAACATGAGAAAATGAGGCCTGATGCAATTATTGAAGTGAAAGAAGGTTTGGTTGATAAACTTCATATAGCTGGGTCAGACAATGCATTAGCTAAAGTGATCACCAAAGAAAAAGATATTGTTTCTTTATTTATTGAGAAGGAGGAAAAGTCTCTTAGTGTTGTTCCAGAGGTGGCTGAGGCAGAAACACCACAAAAACCAGACTATGATGCTATAAAACATGATCTGGATGTTGCTGCAAGGCAAGTAGATGAAGAATATCAGCGTCAACTAGATAATAAGATCAGTGCATTTGTTATACCTGCTTCAGGGCAGGACAAAGCTTATCTAAAAGGAGCAGACTCTGAAATACAAGAAGCTCCAAAAGACCAGACTTCATTATCCAAGGAACCAAAAGAGGCAGATGTTCTCTCAAGGACTGAGCCTACTCATGTAAAGGACAGCACCAAACCATCTGAAACTGAGATCAAGGAGAAAGTAACTAAGCCTGATCTGGTGCATCAGGAAGCAGTTGATAAAGAAGAATCTTATGAGTCTAGTGGAGAACATGATCAGACCCAAGAGGGCTTGAATGAAGAATCTCTAAAACCAGATGACAACAAAACAGAATCTCAGAAACCTTCTGTGTCAGAAGAAGATATTACATCAAAATGGCCAGCGAAGGAGCCTCCCCTTGAGTTCCCCATTTCCGAAGCTGAGTCTGCGCAGGAGGAGACAGCTGAAATCCAAATGGAGAGCATACCACAACCTAAAGAAGAAGCTCCTGATGCAGCTGCAAGACCCATGGAAACCACAGAGCAGCTGCCATATGGTCTAACAGCTGAGACTCCAAAAGGAGAAGAGCATGAAGAAGGAGGAGGAGAGGAGGAGAAGGAAGAAGAGAAGCAACAGTTCGTAAGAGAAATGCCTCAAGAAGCAGACTTGAAGACAGCTGCCAAAGAAGAAGTGCCAGCTGAGGCCGGCTTAGAGGAAATGCCTGAACTAAAAGGAGTTATTGAGTCTGTTGTCACTGTTGAGGATGACTTCATCACAGTGGTGCAGACAACTGTGGATGAGGGTGAATCTGCTTCTCACAGCGTGCGCTTTGCTGCCGCACAGCAGGAAGAACTGGAAACAGGAGACTCTCAGCCTGAAGAGGAAGTGGATATGGAGGAACCAGCTGATAGCCAAGCAGAACTCAAAGAAGGCTCGCCAGAAGCTCCTGCCTCACCTGAGAAAGGAGAAATCCTGCTTACTGATTATAAGACTGAGACATATGATGATTACAAAGATGAAACAACTATCGATGACTCCATCATGGACACAGACAGCCTCTGGGCAGATACTCAAGGTGTGCATTATCCTTTTATAAACTTTTTTTTTTGCTTCCAAATAGACCATAATGACTGAAAAGAGTGTAATAATAACAGTAATAGTAATTTCAGCACATTTCCAAAACATGGTAAAATACTCTGTCATTTTTTTAAACAATTTGCTGCATTTTCATTTTTTTCCCTTCCACCAAAGTTCTGTTAACATTTGTTACTAATCTTCTTTTTATTCTTATAATTTGCTCTGATCCTACAGATGATGATAGGAGCATCATGACAGAACAGTTAGAGACTGTTCCTAAAGAGGAGAAGGCAGAGAGAGAATTGCGAAGATCATCTCTCGATAAACATAAAAAAGAGAAACCTTTTAAAACTGGGAGAGGCAGGATTTCTACTCCTGAAAGGAAAATAGCTAAAAAGGAACCTAGCACACTCTCCAGAGATGAAGTGAGAAGGAAAAAAGGTTCATTTAACACTCCCTATTACTATATTTTTGCTGTTGTACAGTACTGCAAGGTTACACTGTTGTAGAAGATGAATACCTTAATCGTACTATCTGGAATATTTTTTTAAATCAGATGTACAATTATGTAAAAGAAAAGGTGCTAGGCTCACCACTCCATCACTCCAGCTTTATGCCCAGGTAGCTCCTTGGGACTAGGTAGCACATCTGAGATTAATGCACTAGTCCTTCACCTCTGCCAACTAGGATTAATTCATTCAAGTGGAACCAAAAGCATCAAACTGGAGTAACAGAGCGGTAGGTCTGGCCTGTGGTTGATGTGTTGTCATGTCAAACTGTTTGGTGTTTTTTTCCTGATTATGTGCTTTTGTGTTTTCTTGTTCATAGCAGTGTATAAGAAAGCTGAACTTGCTAAAAAAACTGAAGTTCAGGCCCACTCTCCCTCCAGGAAAATCATTTTAAAACCTGCTATCAAATATACTAGACCAACTCATCTCTCCTGTGTTAAACGGAAGCAGACAGGTGACTGTGTCGTGTTCAATTATGCAATGTGGCTGGCAAACATAGACTTTTTTTTTTTAAATCTCATTGCTATAGCAGCTTCTCTATTGTTTATTTTTATGTTTCCTCCAAGAATATCAGCCTTCACAAACAAAATAGCTTCTTGGTGTTTTGTATCATTCTTCTTTTTTTTCAAAACTTATTTATTTATTATTTAGCAAAGGCCATGATCACATATGCTTGTCATTGCTCGGACTTCTAAGTGCCGTGATTGTATCTTGGCATCGTGCTTTAGTGTGTTGTTGTAGGAATCCCTATTCTCATTATTTTTATTTTACTTATTTTGTTTTCTGGTGGGAAAGTGTTGATAGCTTAAACCATAATATACATTTCCATTTCTTTCTTTCTTTTTTTTTTTTTTTGTTTTTTTCTCTCATGCATAGTAAGAAGTTTTTCGGTCCTATATATTATTCATTTATATTATCTGCATTGGCACTTCCAAATCTGTTACTGATGTTTCTGCTGTAAACTCAAAATCCACAGAGAGAATCCAGCCACATGCAAGTACAAAGCTGAGAGAAGAAATCTGGGGTCCAGCAAGGAGTGCATTAGAGGAAAAAATGTTTTTCAAAATCTGAATATTGGGTTGGGGTAGATGAGAAAAAGAAAATTAAATGATTCATTTGATATTTTAGGTGACATGTAATTTTTTCTGGAGTTAGAACACTGAGTTTTTCAATCTAGTCTCCTTGCTGGTACTGTCAGTTCAGGGTGGAGAAATAAGTATTGGATTTCTATGTGTATTTAAAAAATAATAATTGGATCTAATTTTCCTGTCACATAGTTTGACACCTCCAGTTACAGCAATGCAGTTGCTCCAGAGTAAATGAGAGGAGAATTGTGCATGTCTAGCATACAGATAATATACTAAAATAGACATATTGCTGTTTTCATGGCTTAAAAATTAAAAGTGGTACTCATTACAAAAAACGGAGCACCTAACATCTTCACTTCTCTGCCGTCCTATACTCTACATACAGTGTTGTAGGTGCTTTGTAAGGTCTATCACTAAATCTTCTATAAACATTCCTATAACCTCCTTGTCAGGACTGAGTAATGCCAAAAGAATCAGATGGGAAACCAGTCCAGTGCTTGGGCATGCTTTTCCCATCGTGTGTTGTTGCTGTTTGGCCCTTACGTTAATCTGTAGGGGAATTCCTCGTTTTAATGTAAAACAAAACCATCAGGTAGTCAAAAATTGAAAAATACAGTGTAATAGCAAAATCCAAGTTTATTCAAACTTAAAGCTGAAAGCAAATATAAATGCTTAGTGCAGATCACCAAACTTCGCAAAAGAACAGAATCTGATTCAATTTCATGGCCTTCAGAGTAGAATCAACCAAAAACCAAGATCTGAATATACCTGAAATTTGGAGTAATTTTGGTCTGGGTATGAATTTTGAGGTTTGGATGCATCTCTGAAACAGATTAACATGAACCATATTGCTAAATGAACAAAGTCTCCAGAGCCTAACATTGGTATACCCTTAGGACTATGGATAAAAATCATAGTAGCTCAAATGTTCTTCTCTCTGTCTTATATACATTAGTGTGTTAACTCTGCTGAGTGCTACAGCTGAAGGTTAGGGGACATGGAAGCTAAGTACAGACAGTCAAAAAGCTGGAGGCTGAATCAATTCAATAGGCACAGGTTAGCATAAGCTGCATAGTTTGAACAGATAAGGAAGTGAACAGACATTCACTTTTGATTCTGAAAATGCAGCCACATGCCTGCAGTGGCCCAGGCCAGAAGCTGGGGTGCACTAGAGCATGCCTCTTTGCTTGGCTGGAGCAGACAGCTTGGGCCAAGGCTAGCTCACCCACCCTGGGAGTGGGGGCTTGCAGGAGAGGTGCAAAGAATCCTGGGATGCTGGGGGACTGACAGTTAACTTGAATCTGGAGGGAATCTGGAACAGAAGTTCAATAAACTGATTTAACCTAAATCAGTTAAGTCTGATACTACATCCATCCAGGTTTATCTTAAATGAGTTTTAGCCATTTTGAAAGCAGTTCATATGCACTAAACTTCTGTTGTTACAGCTTTGAACTAGTTTCCAATCACTTATATGCAACTTCTGTCCCTAGCTGGAAGGGTATCTCATAGACCTGTCCAATAGCCAGCCAGATCTACATTTGAACACCACTGGGGCTGTACTGACTTACACTGGGACTGGATTGGTCCTCAGGCATCTTCAGGATTAGGAAACTGAGACTTTCAAGCCAAAATCAACAGATTTGGGGTTTTTTCTTCCTAGATGATGAAATTAAGCAACCACTTTAGGTCAACATCCATTCCCATTGAAAGCAATGAGATTTCTTGTTGGCTTCAGTGTGGGCAGGATTGCATACTTAGCCCAAAATGTCCTCAGAATCAATTCTGAATAAATCAGTGAATATTCCAACCAGTAAAAAAAATTCCAATTAGCTTTTTATGTACTTGGAAAAGAAATTTGTTCAGAGAACATCCAGGTATTTAGTGTTTGTATTCAAAGCTCCAAATCCATCCAGGTTTACACCCCAGTGATACAATAATGAAATATTGCTATATATCTGTGTAATGTCAGTGACAGACAATAATTCACAAGTAATTTTGTAGTAATAATTAGTAAATAAATATACTGAATGTGGAAGAGTAACATTTTCAATAATTATGTTTTTAAAAGACCCACCTCTTTGCAATATTAATAGAAAAAAGATGACACAATTTTGGAAAAAGGTAGTTTATTTCATCATCTGGATTTAAGTACAGTTTGCACTGTGTTTTCTAATTGGCTGAAGTGATAGGACACTGCTGCCTTTATGACATCACATCATGGATGTCATACAGTACCCAGAGCAGTTACTTTGTTTTGAACTGAGGCCAACATGCATTAGGCTTGTGTTCCTATCTTAAATGTTATAGTCAATTCCCCAAGGTTAAACATGTTTCTTGTGTGATTAATCTGGTAGCCGAGCACAAAAGGACAGTGTGAAGTCATGATCCAGATAGTTTGTTCAGATGGAGGAGTTGTTATGCTTTCAGGTAAGTTGGTGACAGCTATACAACAGTGATCTTCATTTTTATAGCTGTGGCTGATTGGAGTTAAATGCCAAAAGAAGAAGGAGAAACATTTTGCCTGTTTATTTTGAAGAAAAACAACAGCAGTAACAGATATGGTAAAATGTAATGCAGGCATCTTGTACTGTACTTATTCTGCTGTAAAATTCAGAACTAAAATTATCAGTTCTGTGTTCTCTCTCTCTTTCCTTCTCTCTCTCCTACTACCTCAATTTAAATTCAAAGAAAAAGGACAAGGCAAGAACGTTATTTAAGATTGCAAAAACACTGAGTGGGAAATGCAGCCTTGTGGGCAATGGAGATTTGTTGCAGAGCAGCAGGATTTCGTTCTACCCCACTGCTACTGGCAAGGGCGTGTGCTACAGTTGTCCAGGACAAAGGAGAAACAATCACTGCTACCCAGATTTTGTAAATGGAGGACAGTTGGGACTCTAGCTAAAGGAAGTTGTTTGTCCCCTCACAAACATGTTCCAACACACACTCAGAAACTGGTACTGTGTTACTGAAAGGGGATCTCACAAACAGCTGCATCTCACAAGGCACACAATTGCCTGAACAACAGCACAGCATGCACATAGTATCTTGATTTCTGAATAGGACTTAAACTTTTTCCCAGGAGGGAATCCAGGCCAAACATTATCAGTTTTGTCTCCACTGCAACTAAAATAATTGTTCATTATTTCTTTACAAAGAGAACACTGAAACAATATATTGGTCTAGATAACAATGGCTTGAATACTGGTGTTGTAGGTAACAGTGGCTTGAATACTAAAATAACAAACTAAAGTCTGAAGATGTAGTTCACTTCTGCATTACTTCAGTTTTATACCAGTGTAACTCTGCTAACACCAGTGGAATTAGTGCCAGTCTAAAACTGAGAAACTAATGCAGCAGTAAATCTGTTACTTTTCATGTAGACTTCTTGGTCAAAATTTTCAAAAAGTGTCTAGTGTTTTTTTGGTGCCTCAGTTTTCAAGTACCTGAAAGGGGCTTGATTTTTAGAAGATGGTTCAGTATTTCTGAAGACCAGGATCCTTTAAGTTATCTTAGATTGGGCACCCAAAGCCACTAATCACTTTTTAAAAGCTCAGTCCTGGATGAGTGGTTTTCAACCTTTTTTTAATTGCAGACCCCTAAAAAATTTTGAGTGCAGGTGCAGACCCTTTGAAGTGTAAGTGTGGGTATCCACATACTTTTCATTTATCATAGTCATCTTTTACAGACCCCTTAGACATAGTCTGTGGCCCCCAGTGATCTGCAGACCACAGATTGAAAACCACAGCCGTAGATCATAGACCAGTATGAAGTGGAGGATATAATTTTGATTAACTTGCTTGAATTCATAGATTAACTATCCCTATCACAAATATGTAGAAAATGAATTAATTTAAGCCACTCTGAGCCTTTTGGATAGGGCAGGATATCAACCTAAATAATAAATAAATACATTTTAAAGGTGGCTGCATTTGCTGCACACAGTTTGCTTAGCCAAGCTCATTCTAATTTACAGTCTAATTCATGAGGTTATTGTTTTGCACATGGCTTCAAAGGCAATTGATTATATTGAAGGTATCCTGGAGATACAGATTATTATTTTTAACCAACAAGTCTTTTTTTGGGTCTCACAGCGGCAGGTGGTGAAACAAATCAGGCTCCTGGTGTATTTAAACAAGCCAAGGAAAAACTTTCAGTGAGTAAAATTGTCTTCTCCTCATCCATCTCTGTAAACTCATTTTTGTCCTGATTCTGTAGTTTAATTTTGTAAATGTGTCTTCCTTTCAAAATTCATTTATCATAGCCATTCATAATTATTTTTTATTTAAAATCATCTTTTACACATAATTGCTGTCAATTCCCCACTTCACTGCTGTCACAGGTAAATTGTATAGTTATGATATAGTTCTGATAATGGTTTAGCAATCTGATGTTAACACACAGGCTTGGAACTGTAATAAAAGTTCACTAATGTTAAACACTGAGAACCAGCCCCTCAGCTACTGTTAAACAGCATAGTTCCTTCAGGGTCACCAGTTCACACCATATGATGACTAGCTGTTATCACTGGATTGTTACATACCACAAGAAAACCCTGCCTTGTGATTGGCTAGACAGTGTCTTATGATGCACTATTATTTTTCTTTTGCTATTTGCTTCTTCAAAGGTAACAGATTTCTGGAAAATATTAACCAATACTATCTGTTACGCAGATGAGTGCATTCTGATCACTTCATGAGGCATTGCTTGGACTTCTAATTTCCATCTTTACAATGTTAACTTTAAACAGTGTTGTTAAATTCCAGGTCCTCACACATTCTAGCCTACCTCAGACTTCTTTGATTTCACTCCCCTACTACACCCCTGAATTTCCTCCAACCTGCTAGAGGGTAGGATTTGCATCTTTTTCAGGCTTCCCTGCTCCCCAGCCCTACTCTTAGGACAGTTTTGTAACCTTGCCATTCCAGCTATGTAATTCCCCCAATTTAACTTCTTTGAAATCCACCCATTTTTCAGCCCAGCTCACTGCTCCCAATGCAATGACCTCATAATAGTTTCCTAGCTCCTCCGTAACAGCAGTGTTAGCATTCCAGCTTAGTAAGCCCAGCCACTTTCAAAACTTTCATACTCAACTGCACTCACATATTGTGCTTCTGAACAGTATTCAGGAAGAACCAAGCAGTTCACGATTCCTGGAAAGAGCCATAACCCCAATCCAGCAATGAGTGTAAAATATGGTCTGGTATATGTAAAGAAGCATGCATCATGACTACCTGTGTTTTAGTAGCCTGTGAAATAAAGTGCAATTTCCACCTTCCATCTTCAACACTCTGACTCACTACAAACACCAGTTCTCCTTGTGAGGGCCACATGTAGCTCAGTCCCACAAAAGCAGCCTGCATTTAAAGCAGTAGACATTCTACCAGAGACCAAAGGTAGTATATGACTAAGAGTTAAGGAATGAAGATGACTGTGGATAAATCACTGGTCTGTGATTCAAGTGATCTCAGGTCAAGTGATCTCTACCAGAGACTTCCTGTATAACCTTTAAGCAATCCACTTGATCTCTTTGAAGCACATTCCACTACTATTACTTATGCAAAGTAGTGCCATACTCCTCAAGTCATGTGGAAGGAAATCTATGGCAAAGTAAGATGATGAACTTAGATTTTCTGAAGATATGTCTATATGGCAAAATTCAATGTGATGTAGCTCTAAACAACCAGACTAAGTACAGACAGTCAAAAAGCCAAAGAGTAAATTGAGTCAATCATTACAGGTTAATCTAAGCTGCATAGATTTAACTGATAAGCAAGTGAACAGATATTCACTTTTGATTCTGGAAGTGTAGCCACATGCCTGCAGTGGCTCAGGCCAAAAGCCAGAGCATGCTGGAGCACGCCTTTCTGCTCAGCTGGAGCAGACAGCTTGGGCCAGGGCTAGCCCACCCAGCCTGCAAGCTGGGGTTTGTGGGGGAGGTACAAAGCATTGTGGAGTGCTGGGGGACTGTGAGTTAACTTGAATCTGGAGGGGATCTGAGACAAAAGTTCAATAAACCAATTTAACGTAAATCGGTTAAGACTAATACTACATCCATCCAGGATGGCCAAACTGGTTTTGGCCATTTTGAAAGTGGTTTATGTGCTCTGAACTTCTGTTGTGTTACAGATTTGACCCAATTTCCAATCACTTATACCAGTTTATGTGTAATTTCTGTCCCTAGCCTCAAAGTCCAGCATTTAGAAGCAGGGTAGCTTGATAAATTAACTTGAGTAGAGCTTTGTGCTAATTCAGCCAGTATTTGAGCTAGCTTGTTTAGGGCTAGTACGAGTATCTCTAAGATGTGATATGTTATGGAAGGTAGATATACCCTAAATCCCAAATGGCTGCATTAACACAAATCCATCCTTTTTCTTTAACTACCAGTATTCCTATTTAAAGATAGGAAAATACTTTGCAAAATATGGTCCAGATTATATTTGGGAACCACACTGTATGTGCTTGTGCACAGTCCAGCTGATGATGCAGTAAAATTCTACTCAGTGTAAGAAAGAATCCAAGGCAGAAGGGCAGAATCCAGCCTTTTGTGCTTTAGCTCCCCATCTGTAATAGCTTCCTGACCAGTTCAGATAAATTGGTTATTGTTTAGACCTTAGACTGGTAGTGCTTAGCTCTTTCAAAGTACCTAAACTTCAGCTAGGTGTCTAGTGAGTTATACAGAAGTGCCTAATGAGTTATACAGAAGTGCCTCAGTGCATTAAGCACCCAACTCTTGTTGCCTTCTGGTATCCTTACACATCTTTGTAAATCTGGTCCAGCATGTGTTGAATGGATATTCAAAAATGGAGTGATACAAAATGGAATGTGATAATTTTATGAATCTTATTTTCAATTTCTACTTAAACTATTTGCCACTGATTATACTCCTTCATATATTGTACACAGTTGAATAAAACACATTTTCCCTATTAAAAAATTTCTGTTCATCGTGCTGACCTTTCATCTCTTAGAGCATGGCACCAAATTGGTACAGTACTGCATCACAAAAGTCCAATTTGATAATGCACTAGGACTGAAATAATCTCTTTTGCTTTTGGAAATTAGAGAGTCTCCAAGGCAAAG